AAAAAAAAAAAAAAAAAAAAAAAAAAAGAGAGAGGCTCCTTACACCTCTGGAATTTGCCCAAGTACCAAAGTAACACCCTGATACCTTTAAGTAGATCCAGTGGTGCATGGCATACAGCAACTACAAATAGCAAACTCGGGATAGTGAATTTGCCAAAATCTGAACAGATACGGACAGGGAAAGCAACACTCACATTACAGGCCACAGCATAACTCACTGAATCCACAGCAATATACTTGGCATTTGATTTATAACTGACCATGTAAGTGAAGACTTAACAATTAACGCTATGCCATACAAAAGAGTTGCTAACATTACCCTACTGTGTAACTGTTCTACCACAACTCACTTCATTGACAAGCGACTGGAAAATAATTTGGGTCAAAGGAGGACGGGATGCTTGTTATTGTTTGGATTAGAGCTGAACAAGGTTTACCAAGTAAATGTTTGAGCATACAGAACCTTTAGGTAAGCTACTCAGAAATGGGGAGCAAGCTACTGGTACCTTGAAAGTGATGCACTGGAGAGGTTTAGAGTTTTTATGTTTGTTGATCACACAGCCACTCATACATCTTTCACAGTGTTAATAATGCTCTACCTCTGACCAACGTGGCCTTGCAAGTCAATGAATCACAGTGGTGCATGAATGGAGTCTCACCTCATGGGTATAAACCCTGACAGGAACACCAAAGGCCCGAGCCAAGCCAAAGTCTGCCAGTTTGATAACTCCCTTGTTGTCAATCAGGAGGTTCTGGGGTTTTAGGTCCCGATGAAGAACCCGACGACAGTGGCAGAAGTAAATACCTTCCAGGATCTGGTAAAGGTAGCTCTAAAAAAGGAGATTAAAGTGGGGGGAAAGAAAACAACCATGGGTATTGACCAGGCCATGAATTTAGCCCAGAAACACAAAGTTCATGACCATGTATCTTGAAATATAGTATTCGATTCTACAGTCTAACTGAAAACCAAGATCTTCACCTGTAAACAAAGGCAAGATCCCCAAGACCTAAGACAAACTGCTGAGCATGTTTATTAATCACAGCACACAGTTACCTTCACCAACATAGGGTCCATGTACTGGCCAGAGGGGATGGAATCCAGGTACTTCTTCAGGTCCATGGAAAGGAATTCAAAGATGAGGTAAAGACGAGACTCTTGCATCAGGACATCCAGGAGTCTGTGAAACAAAACACAAGTACTAAGTGCATATACTCTTTGGGTTTTCATTTTCTCATAATTCCTGTGTGCTCACCCACTGTATGTTAAGGGTTTTGTGGAATATTTATACTGCAAGCCAGTGCATTAATGAAAGCTGAAAACATTATTTGGCAACATGCTATGCTGGGCAATCAAACATTTTCAGGTGTATCAGCTCTGGCACTCTAATCACTGGGATGTAATATTAGTGATGGTCAGACTCAAAACAGAGTATCAACATGCTTCAAACCACTTGCGACACTTCCTGTCCGAATAACTACAAGTCTTATATCAAAGTGCACAAGTCACGTGACTGTTTCACATTGTTTCAAAATTTGGTAGTTTCACTGCTAAGGGCTGACCCCACTGTGAATGATGGACAGTAGACCCAGCATTTGCAACTACTGATTCTGAGTCAGTTGACATATGCGCTACCTGATAATCAAACAAATATGATCCTCTGATAGGGTGCCACGAGATCTTGTAATATTAAAATTTCACAATATTTCTTATATCAGTACATACTGTAACAAAACCAGAGCAGCAGCCAATATGATGGAGGGTGATGATAAAGTGACCACATTAGTTCAGCAAAAATGCAGCTCCCTGCTGTATTTTAACAACATGGAGCTGCATTGGTCGGGGGGGGATGAGGGGTTGCAGGCTCGATACGGCCACGAGTGACTTCATTCACATTTCTCAGCTGTGCATTTCCAATGTGCTGTGATTAGCCATGCTGCTAAAGCACCCCACTCTACCTTAGCACTAATTCTACCACCAGTGCATCAGCAGTGATAGATAAAAACACCGTTTAACATCCAGTACACTAATGAAAGTGCATAGTGTCTCATTATGGCGTGTTAAATGTGGCCCAAATTCAACAGTGTGAATGCTCATGCATTCCCTAACCTTATCTTAAGCTTAAGGAAGCCTTCCTAATTTGCTAATAACATATTAAAAGAGTTGGATCTTTGTGACTGACAGTGTTGTGTTAAAAACCAAACATGGAGAGGAGGGGCTGATCACAGGTCTGTCATCATGGTTGTCATGTGGGGATGAGTGTGAGAGAGAGAGAGAGAGCACAGAGGGGCTGTGCCAATACATGTGCTACACACAGCACTACAGTGGAATAACATTAACCTATTTTAAACCAATACGTGGCAGTCAGTGCTGATATTGTGTTGGCCCGTACAAATAACTCAATGACTGAGAAAAAAAAAAGCTATCACAACCACTACTCAACATGAGCATACCGTACAACATTGGGATGTTTTAGCTCCTGAAGCAGAGAGACCTCTCTGACAGCAGTGCTGGGAACCCCCTCCTCCTCACTCTCCAGGCGGATCTTCTTCATAGCCACAACCTGCCCTGTGGCCTTATGCCTACCCTTATACACCACCCCATAGGTACCTGCAAGACAAACAAGTCACCAAGGCAATTCCAACCATATTACACTGAAAAAAACCTAACACTGCATACGCTTAATAGTCATGACATCACTTTTTAAAGTACTTCAGTGTTTCCGCTGGTAACATTTCACAGTGGTGCACCACCACGCTAAAATCTTTGCCACCACAGCAAAATAATAAATCAATCTAACCAGCAGAATCTCGACAGGCTGCTGTTTAAATCACCCAAGACCCCAGTTATTTTCTGGGGACTTCTTTTGTTGTTGCTGGTGTCTGTTATGGTCATGTGCGTATGACCCACATGAAAACTATTGTTTACAAAACAGCTGTAGTACTTTAAAATCAACCAACCTTCTCCAATTTTCTCAATTTTCAAGTAGTCCTCCATTATTGCCTGAAAGAAGACAAATATGCTGTCATGCCAAGAGTGAAGTTTCAATAACCATGATTACTTTAAGCAGGTTCAGCTAATGCTGATTATTTTACCATCATATACATTCATTACTGCAATATTTTATCTAACTTAATGGCATTAAAATAAAGTTTACTGGCGTTAGTTACCGCTAATTCACAATGTAAAATGTGTTCCCAAAAGGTCACAAGGCTGAGAAAAGCTAACGTAACTCGCAGAGACAAACTCAACAGCTTGAATTCGGTATAACATTCAGCTGTTAATTAACGCCAATGCATTAAAATAATGGGCTTTACCACTTAACTTAAATACCAACGTTAGCTAAGTTGGTGTTACTTCAATCGATAAGCTAGCACAAATGCTAATTACCGTTAAAGTTAGGTTGCCTTTACGCCCAGTTTAAATGACAGGGGTTTTTTTTGGTGGCTTATATCTCTTTTTACTATTATCTTTTGCCATCAGCCGTTATGTTCGTGTTTCTGTTTTGACTGCGAAAGTAACCTTATGATAGCAGTCCCAGAACTAAATTTGTTAACGTTAACCTGCTGTTGAAAGTTGCTGTTTTATTTATGCTAACGTTAAGCGAGCAAGGTAAGGTCTCCAACGCTAGCTTGGCTAACGTTAACGCTAAAACTCCAAACCTACCTACGATTGTTTATCTAGTGCCGGCTGACCCAGTTTCAGTCCAGAGTCTTTTGGTCTACGTATTTAACTAAACTTACAGATCAGTCAAGTCATACTTTGGCCTACATAAAACGGAAAATAATAATTACCTTGTCTTGTTTCATACAATGCGTGCTTCTAATACGCAAACTACCGCTGGAACACTCTTTTGAATTGACCGCAGTACAGAAGCGGTTCAAAACTGACCAATGAGATCACGCCGTGTTTTACAAAGCCGCCAATAACAAAACGGGAAGCTGTCATGTGGTCTGCGCGGGAGTGAACGCGCGGATGTAACACAGAGTCACTAAGTCCTGAGTTTCGTCTCTCAGGGACGGACGACTTCTTTTAATCTAATCTACTCTATCCCATATAGCACTGATCCTATCATTCGAGTTTTGACTGGAGAATGTGTTGCGAACTGTCAATGTAGCATGGATGTATGTATAAATTTGCTTTGAAATAATGTCCTAAATCAAGATTAACCTATGTTCCATATTTTTCACGGTTTAATCCCTTCTCCTAACTTTCTGTCTGAAAAGATGATAGCCTTCATAAGAGCTACTGTCGTTGTTGTTTTTCTTATTCTACATTGTACAGGATGAACGGAAATATAATATAATATAGTCCACAAAAGTCTTTAAATGTACAAAATGTGGAAATATTATTATTATTATTTTAATTAAAATTAAAGCCTTATATTTTACTATATTTAGAACATATAAACTACACCTTCATAGGGTTTTCGCTCAACTTCAGTGACAGTGGTGGAAGAAGTACTGAGATTGTTTACTTAAGTAAAAGTAACAATACCACAGTGTAAAAAATACTCTGTTACAAGTCTTGCATTTGAAATGTCACTTGAGTAAAAGTTCAAAAGTATTAGCAGAAAATATACTTAAAATACCAAAAGTAAGTACTCATTATGCCAAATGGCACAGTTTACATTGATGTACATCATATTATTCAATTAGAATTATTGATGTTTTATTATGTAGATGCAATTTAATGTTGCAGCTGGTAAAGTTGGGACTAGTTCTAACTAGAAAAGCAATATCATTTCAATATCATTTCAGGTTTTTAGAAAGGCTAATGAAAGAAACACTAAGAATGCACATTGTGAGACTAGTAGAGCTGAATGGAGAAATCCGTCTTAGCACAGAGGTGTTTTTAAATAGCCTTTTATGTAACTATTTGCTGCCACTAAAAAAGCTTAATATATAGACTTGGACTTGAGTAAATAATGTAGGGCATTTATGACTATTTTTAACATTTTATATTACTGTAACAAAGAATAAAGCAATTTAATGAAACACAAGTGAATACAATCCACATTTCCCACAGCCAAATGTATTTGTAGTGCTCCACCACAATGGAGTCAGGTGTGTAGGCTAAACTGGTGGGGAGGTTCAGTGCTTGAATACTGGCTGTAAATTGTTAAGAGTGCCACTGGAATATCTGTAGACATTTGCAGAGTGTTAAAGTTAAGTGACAGTAGTAAAAATCAAATAGCTACTAATAAAAATATAGTTAAATTAGCTAGTTAATAATTCTTTGTTTGATGGTGGGGGTTGCGGGTATAGCTGAGTAGTGGTTAGCACGGTCACCTCATAGCAAGTAGGTTCCAGGTTCAGGCCCCAGCCGACCCAATGCTTTTCTGTGTGTATGTTCTCCCCGTGCCTGCGGGGGTTCTCTCCGGGTACTCCAGCTTCCTCCCACAGTCCAAACACATGCAGCTTAGGTTGACTGGTGACTCTAAATTGCCTGTAGGAGTGAGTGTGTATGCATGTGGTTGTTTGTCTAAGTGTCAGCCTTGTGATAAACTGGTGACCTGTCCAGGGTGGACCCCACCTCTCACCCAGTGTCAGCTGGAATTGGCTTCTCGCCCCAGTGACTATTCAGGAATAAGTGGTATAAATAATGGATGGATGGAATATTTCTTTGTTAAACTGTCGTGCAATTATGAAGCAATAGGATTTAAAAATAAGATATTTTACTAAGAATAATAAATACAATTCATTGGCAAATTATGCCATAAAATTGTTTTTAAGTATTTTACATTGAGCTAATAAATGCATAGTTTAAATGCAAAATTCAATTAAACCATTTATAATACATTTTTATAAATTACCAGCTTGATAGTTCATCATACAGTGGACTCAGAGACCCATTCAAGTTTTCTGTATTTTATATTTCAAACTCATGTTAAAATGGATTTCTTTTTTCCCCCTCATCAATCTACTGACAATATTCTATAGTGACAAAGTGAAAATAGGCTTTTGGAGTGTTTTTAATTTAATAAAAAAATAAAAGACTAAAATCAAACCTAATGCCTCTGGCCAGGGCTATTACTGGTGTGGAGGCACACAAATAAAAAAAATTAAATAGCAAGAACAACCTTTTTATGTGAATACACACCAGCTGTCGATGATGACAAATGGGAGACAGCAGAGTTGAGCTGTGTGAAGCGTTTTTTTTTAATTGAAACAAAGTAACACATTAACAAAACAGTACCGAACTCGAGAGACAAGACAACAGTTACATGGCATTACAAAAGGATATAAAGTATTTAACAAGGTTGTAGTTTGTGAAGTGTGGGTATTTCCAACTTATGCAGTCTATGAAATGCAAGAAAGGGAAAAGAAGGGGAAGTAAATAAATAAAACATGACCAATAATAATGATGATAACAGTACTACTAATAAAAACAGCTTGTTACATTTCTAGAGGTTGGTGGGAATGTGCGTGGCCTCAGCCCCAGGTATTTGATTCAGGTTGAAATGTGTTAAAAATGGTTCCATGTGTCATAAAAAGC